CAATACTGGAGGAAAATTATCTAAGTGAATCCATCTGTTTTGTTCTGTAAAACTCTCTCAGTTTAATTTTAATTGAACAAGAAAGGAACGAGCATGTCTAATAAATGCATGTCTCTTTTCTATGCCCTCAGTGGACAGCCCTAATATTTTTCCAAAACAGAAAATGTATCTACTGTATGAAGAAGGCAAAAAGAAACACAAAACACCCCCCCCACACACACAGTGCCATAATTAAAGTTCTCTCTCATTTCAGATTTTTTGTAGGAAACACTCAGTCTAACTTGCAGGTGTAGAGAGATCTGTAATCACTCTAAGAGGATTATAAGAATCTTATAAAAATTAAAAGAATCGGGGAAGGGTCTACTGCAAAGGCAGTAAGTATAAACTGGAGGAGTTTTAAAAGCAGAATGACAAAGGCAGCTCTGCGCTGTCAGTGGCTCATAATAAAAAGGCAAGATTAAAAATGTAAATTATATTTAAATGTCCTCTTTTTACGCTTTAATCAAAGGACTCCTATGTGATTTTACCCATTTATTTTATATTCGCAATTGCATAATAATTGGGTTTGTTTCAACTATTTAAATTAATGCTGATTGAGCTAGAGGATACACTGTTTCACTTACCTTGTGCAAAGAACAGATTTCATGAGTCCCCTCCGGAAACAGGCCACTTACCTGTGTAAATGTGTACCTGTGTTTATCTTCTATGCTTGCATCCCCCTACCTCTTTTGCCCATCGCTTCTCACTTTCCTCCTCCAACTCCCTTCACACTTTATTTAGGTTCTGATTCCTTATACTCTTTGCCACATAAAGGGGCTTTCCCTGGCTCCCTTCCACATAGGCATCACAGTCAACTACATCAAACACAGCACAACTACTTAGCCCAATCAGCACGACCATGCCATCACTGCAGGAAAAACGAAGGATTCAAAACAGCAGAGCCCTTCGGATCAGGAAGAACTGTAACAGAATTTCAGCTCTCTGATTCTGGATGGGCTTTTTTCCCTTTTGGCAGACTTTCAGGGATTTGTTTAGTCGAATTCAGCATGCATACGATATAGGTTATTTTATAAATATTTAGCTCTGCTGTGACAGCAGTCTAAATATGTCACAATGCAAAATCCCCTCCCAAGTAATCACGATGGGGATACCTTATGTACTTAATGAGTGAGGCTCTCGCCATGCTTGTTCTAATCTCTATCATCTGCCTTTGGGGTATGTTACACATACATTTTTTTTTTTTTCTTTTACATTTCGTTCCTTCTTCTTGGCTATAGTTCTATGAATTGAAGAGTAGGACACAGAAAAATGAGGCTGTTCTTCATGCCCATTCCATTATTTGCTCCGTTATTTCCAGGGAATGCACTAACTATAATTTTCAGGTTCTTTTTTTAATTGACATATAATTGACATGGAATGTTACTTTCAGGTGTACAATGATTCAATATTTGTACACTGATTTTAGTATATGTGCTGCCAAAACAAGCACAATTTTCAGCTTCTTGACTTTACCATGTTGGTTATATTAATAATTTTAATTTTCTTACCTAAATGAAGGAACTGAGAGACACAAAACCAAATCCTTCCATTATCATGTACTTGGCCAAGGACAGGACCAAAAAAATCCCAATTTTAAGTTACTTCAGTTTGTTGTCCTCAATATTTCCTAGTATAAAATCATTTGAACAAAAGAAAGGATTCAGGACTAATTGTGTGAGCTTGGGCAACTTACTTTCTATGCCTCAGTTTCTGTAACTGAGTCCATTTCCCAAGCTACACAAGAACATAGAACATTTAAATTCCTATTTCATCCCTTGAATTACATATTATATTTGTCTGATATTTTAATTCTTTCCTTAAATATTAAAAAGAAAAAAATACCAGGGCACCTGTGTGGCTCAGTCAGTTAAGCGTCCAACTCTTTTGGCTCAGGTCATGATCTCAGAGTCATGAGATTGAGCCCCACACTGGGGTCCGCCACACTGGGCATGGAGCCTGCTTAAGATTCTCTCCCTCTCTCTCTGCCCCTCCCCTCCTCACGCTCTCTAAAAAAAAAAATAATAATAACTAAAAAAATTTTAAAAATTAAAAAAATTTTTAAAGTAAAAAATAAAAATACCTACAAATCTAGAAATGTTATAATTTATGCATATAATGTTTGTTTGATAAACTCACGGTTTTCAAATTTATTTACTATTTTTATTAGGTCTCAGACCTCTTCTCTGCTACGTTTCTTTCTTGAATATATCTATCATAAACTCCTTCAGTTAAGATTTGGCAGGTGGTAAAGTTTTGACTTTCTGAAAATGTCTTAGTTCATTCCTATATTGTTGTGAGAAAGATGTGCAAGATGCACAATTTCAGGCTATTACGTTCTCTCAGAACTTTGAAGAAAGTGATTCTACTGTGTTCTGATGCCCTTTATATTAGACAGTTCTGCTCTCAGACTGACCTGTGTTCTCCGAAATTTCCTTTTTCTTTGGCTGACTGTAAGATTTTTTTTTTTAATTTGGTGTTGTGTAGTTTAGCTATTTTGTGTCTATGTGTAAATTCTTCTTTTTTTCCCTTTACTCTGCTTCTCCTCAGTTTATATCCCCTCTCCTCTACTAAAGCTATGATTATGTTACATTGGATCTTTCTTATATTCTTATATTTTTAAAAAATCTTTTACATCTTCCTGTTTCTCATCTATGCCTCATTCTGGGTAATTTCTTCACATTCTCTGCTCCCCAGTTTACTATTTCTCCCTCCAGGAGTCCATTATTCCATTTAACCTATCCTATTTCCTTGATTACATTTCCAAAAGTTATATTTAGCTGCTCTGCAATTACATCTTCTCTCATGGCTGTTACTTTTTATGACATATTTTTCTTTAAATATTTGCATATTTTAGAATTAAAGTATGTAAATATTTTAGCATTTAAATATCTCAACTATTTTAGAGATCTGTAAAGTTGCTTTTGTTTGTTGTTTCTATCTCATGGTGTTTAGTGATCTTGGTTGTAAGCTCCAATTTGTTTGAACTTGATACACTAAAGTCTCATGGCCCTTAACTGGTGATGCTTTCCATCTCGATGGAGTCCCAGATGAGTCTCCGTATTAGTGAGGTAATCTGCATTTGCCCTCAGGGCCACCCAGTTTAAGTATTTGCCCACATTGTCCTGTTCTTGGCCCTGACTGAAACCACAATCCTACTCCTTAGGTCATTAATAACTCCTAAGTTATAAGGCTTAATGAACATTACCAAAGAGCAGAGAGGACCAGATAAGTCTTTGGAAAACCAAATTATTTTTAATGGTGACTGTCAATGAGGCAATCCTAACAATATCATACTTTCTGGAGGAAGATTTAAGCGAAGTTAGCACTTAAATGATTCCAAGAAACAGTCACCAACATAAAGTAGATGATCAAAGGGGAAAGAAAGTACTAAATTTTCTAGAGGTAAGAAACAACAGAAGAGTTGTACCTCTTCTAAAATGAAAAGTTTATATTTCAAGGTGGTGTCCTGAAATATTAGTGGAATGAACGTGAGTACCATTTCTCTAACCCTCATAGACTCATCGCCATTTTGAAGACTTCTGCTCCTGTCTATGATGTGGTAGTTTATAATAAATCCATGCTTCTTCAAGAAGAAGAAGAAAAGTTGACTTAAAAAAAAAAAAAAAAAGCTTTCAAGGCAAAACAATTCAGAAGGACTAGGTTCCCAGAGAGAGCAGAAATAAGATACCCCCAAAAGGGTAAGCCAAAGTCCTATGAACTGTTCTTCCCTTCACAGCATTATTTACTGACCATTATTAGCATGGAGCAAAAGGCTAAGAATCTAGGCAGAAGGATGCAGCTATTAGGGAAGCAAGTCAGCAGAAATTTTAGCAATGTCACGAGGCTAACGACATGAAAACTGGAGTTTGGGACTGCCGCCATGGTAGCCAGAACATGAAGATCTAACAGCCCAGTGAGAAGGGGGTGGTTTTTCCCTGGAGCCATTTGGAAAATTCTTAAGCTGTATGAAGGAAGAAGATTAAGAACATAAGCAGGAAGCTACTGAAAATCTCATTAGAGTTTTCTACAGTGCTCAGAGGTAAAAACTTCAAGTCAGAACATACCAAGAAGAAGAGGTCATAATAAATACCCCAGACTCTCAAGTGAGATTCTAGGAGGGGGCAATCTGGCAACAGAATCAGACAAAAACTATATTCCAGTTTTGAGTCAGCACAGATTCTGATTAAATGAAGTATTCTTTATCTAAATCATTCACTTTCCTACCTGAAATTTTACTGCTTTTAATTTTGATATCAATATTTAGATATTGATCTAAATCTATAAAAGAAATCTATATAAATCTATAAAGATCCCAGATATCATCCCAGATGGGAGAAATCACATCAAATTTCATTTTGTAGCAAACTTTAAGGCAAGGAAAACCTCCTGCCCACTGTGATGGTGGGTCTTTTGGTTGTTGACCTGTGGGCTTTTCCAAAGGGCTCTCAAAGCTCCTGAACTGTATTTTCTCCAAATTTAAATACCTCTTCCTTTCAGTATATATATATATATATATATATATATATATGGGGGTGAGTGGCATAAAGAGTTACTTTGAAAAAACTAGTAAATTAGAGTAAATGAAGCATTCCCTTGAACTTCTGAAAAATAATTTTAACAAACACTAAAAATAAAACTGAAATTTGGGAAGTACATCATTAGCTTTTACATTATAAGATGATGCTTCCAGAGGTTATCGTAAATGGTGACACCGATTTCCTACTCACCTAGTAAGTTCAAGACAGGGTATCTAGCATAGCAAACTTGAAAGAATCTATATCATCACATAAAGTGGAAATTTAAGGAACTAATTGGTTATTGAGGCTTTTTCTTCTTGGAACAGTCAAACCAAACACATCCAAGTATGGATCCTCAGAATCTTGTTTCACCACTTAAGATTTAGTTTATTCCATGACTACACACTCAGTGAGTATGAACTCTTTTCCCAACATATTACTAACCTGGTCGATTTGGCTTTTTTGAGTTTACATGGTTAGCTGCAGAAACAGCATAGGATGAAGTGAAGGATCTGCTTTTGGTGAGGGTCATCATCACTGGGTTATTCCAAGAATCAGGACTAACAGCACTATAAAGACACAGCATAAAAATGAAGAAATTATTCATCAGTTATTGGGATAGATCTTGCCAGAATGCAATCACCATTTCCATAATCGGTTTGCCAATCTGAGTCATGGTCCCGGTTCAGTGACAGGACCACTTTACTTCCAAATGAAAGAGTAAGTTATCTGAGCTCAGTTTCTGCTGCAGGGAGACAAGTTAGGCATCAAACATACTGGGTTGATAAAAGAAGAAAGAACTTTCCTATTTTTCCAGTTAGTAGGAACCAGACAATTCTTACTGTATTACTGTAATCATGTTCCTCATAGATCTCCTAAACCTTGACAAATGTATTAGTTAAGATGCAGGGGAACCTATATTAGTTATGAATGTCATTATGCTCCTTTTATGCTCTTTACTATTTATTATTCTTGGTGTATCTAAATTAAAAAATTAAGTGCTTATGAAATTATTCAAAGACAATAGTCTTTGCAGTATTTTCTTATGAAGGAAGGGTTAGCAATAGGCTTTTAGCCTACAATTTTTTGTGACCTAGGAGTTTTAATTTCTTAGTACATAATACAGTGAGTAGGTTATTACTTTTCTATGTAGACTTTTAAAAGACCTTAATATTAACTGCATTTTATTATATTTATGTATTTATTAATATCACAAAAAGTTCTATTATGAAGGCTAGCCTGAAAAATGCCTATTCCTTTTTTAATAAAAACATTTAAAATATGTTAATTTTGAAAAGTTTTATAAAGTAGAGTACCTTTAATACCTGGGAAATTATATATTCCTTCTTCATATATTAATTTGTTAAAATACACATTAATAAAACAATAACTCAATATATTTATGTATATGTAGATAGATGTGTGTGTGTATTTGCATTATAATTTCCTGGCATTTTAGAATATATTGCTTTCTGTGATCCTTGTGACAATTTTCAGCTTTGTATCGACCCTCACCTTCTTGATTCCTGTTTAGATCTCATGAATATGTATGTAATAATTTGGGTATTGGAGATCAAAGTGGCTTAGGGAAAGCTTTACTTAGTCACTTCATTCTGAAAAAGGGAAAATTTTCTACATGTCTTCTGTGGAAGATCTCAATCCCCTTCCACAAAAGTAGATTTGATAATCTTAGTTCTACTTGTAACAACTTCATCCTAGGTCTGAAAAGTCTTATCAGATCCTAAGGTTTTTTGTTGTTGTTGTTTGTTTTTAAACCAAGTTTACCGCCTCCTTTCTGCCTACCATACAGAGGCAGGGGACAGTTCCAAGGCTGACCTGGAATGACCAGAGTATGATTTATTTCAGACTTTTTGATTTATCTCAAGCCTATTTTTTCTGAAGTACCTACTGGTATGCTTCTACCTAATGCTTCTACCTCCCCACTGTGCCACAATTCCCTTCTCCTAAGGATTCCTTGCAGTGGGTACTGAGGCTCAGACAATGACCTGCTCCTCAGGACACACATCTCTGAGTGGCAGGGCCAAAGTCCTTCTGATCTTCAGTCCAGTGTCCTTCCTACGCAGCTGTAGTTAAAACTACCCAAGAGTCAATCCGCCAGCTAAATACCAAAGGGCATGTAAGCTGAGGGCTGCTCCTAATTTTCACTTCCCTCTCTTGTTCTTTTGATCACTGCAGTCCTCAAAGTCCTCAATAGAAAGACACACAGGAAGAAAGGAAGAAACAAAAGGCCTGACGGGGAAAAAACTACAAGGGCTAAACCTCCAATCAGTTTTGAAATCAATCAGTAGTGTTACCAATCAGTCCCCTAAGTGGAGGTTTTAACTTTGGTTTACACTCAGGGCTGGAGGTGATCTGTGGCTATCTTTCCACTGTTTTCCCCCGTGACAAAGAAGGAGTCAACCAAAACCAGCTGTATTTAATGGTGGTACTATTGCCACTTATATATGGTTTTCCCTCCAGTTCTCTTCAGAATGAATTTCATTTCCTCATACTGGTGAAAATTTGTATCATTTTCAGATTTTATAAACAGGACATTTATAGGACAGTGAAATAAAGAATTAAATTAGACAGGGGAAAAACGTATCCTCAGGCAAGACAGCTGTAAGTATTTCTTGGACAAAGAAAATGCGTGGGATTGGACGCTCTTCCTTATCTATTTTGAAAATATTTGATTATGAGCATTTATTTCATCAAGCAGGATGACAGGATCCCTGGGAGTTAAGCTCATAAAAGTTCTTGAAACCCTCTTCATGATAATTTCAATTACAGTCCCTAATGTCATTTAACTAAGAAGAAAAAAGTACGAGAAATGAGATTTGACCAGAAGTAACAAACGATTACAGAAAGAAAGGAGACATTTATGCACAGATGGATTTTTGGCAGCGTCATTGTATGTTAAGGAAATCACGGAGCATTAACTATTCTACGACAGAAATCTTGACAAGGTGTGTTAGTAAAATAGCCTCTCTAAAGATATACACTGAGAACAAAATTCATTTTCTTAAGGAACAAATATTTAACGAGGATCCACTATCACCTATCAGTATTTACTGCTGTAGACAATGATAATGGTCAATATTTTCAGAGGAAAATATCACTAATGACCTGTAATTTTGACCTTCAGGAAATGTCCCTGAAACAGATTAGGTAACCTTCTCCTGTGTTGGCGTTTGACATTTTACAAAAGCCCAAGTAAATCAGATGGAGTGAAATTACACTGATATGTGAAAGAAAGAATCATTTGAGTTTGCTTCTGGTTCTACAGGTTCATTAGACTATCCAAGTTAATATGGAAGAAACCAGTTACACGTATTTTTAAATGGCAAAGCAAGAAAAGTTAGCGGTCATTAAACTCATGATTTGAAATGTTTCAATTTCTCTGCCAATCTCAAAATGGTGCTTTATTTATAGTCAAGCCCAAGATCAGGAGAAAATTACTCCTAATATTGCCATCATGGAGTTCAACAAAGATGTGGTTATTTTTCAGTCATTAGGTCATTTAATAAAGCTGATGCAAATATTTCAAAAACCTGAAATCATATGGGAAATGTTCTCAAAATTACTGAATTCATATAAAGCATGCTATTTTTATTCTAACTAGAAAAGGACAAACACAATGGGGTTTCCTTCAAAATTCTTTCTAGATCTTGGGGCACCTGGGTAGCTCAGTCGTTAAGCGTCTGCCTTCAGCTCGGGTCATGATCCCAGGGTCCTGGGACCGAGCCCCACATCGGGCTCCCTGCTCCATGGGAAGCCTGCTTCTCCCTCTCCCACTCCCCGCAGCTTGTGTTCCCTCTCTCTGTCAAATAAATAAATAAAATCTTTTAAAAAAAAATATTCTCTCTAGATCTTAACACTATCTTTCCTTTAGCTTTGGTAATTCTGGCTTTTAAATCACTTTGTAAAATTGTAATTAATATGCTAAAGTTTGTTCTATTTTTAAATTGAGATATAATTGACATATTAGTTTCAGGTGTACAATCTAGTAATTTGATATTTGCATATATTATGAGATAATCAACAAAATAAATCTAGTAGCATCCATCACCACACAGTTACAAAAATTTTTTTGTGGTGATGAGGACTTTTAAGATTACTCTCAGCAACTTTCAAATATGCAATACGGCATTATTAACTATAGTTACCATGCTGTATGTTATAGCCCCATGATAATTATTTAAAGCTGAAAGTTTGTACCTTTGGACCCCCTTTACCCATTTGGCACACCCCACCCCACCCCCAGCTCCTGTTTCTGGCAACCACTAATTTGTGTTCTAAATAAACTTTAGATTACCAAATGTTTGAACATTATCCAGGTGCTCTTAGGATGACGATCTACTTTTTGATCTGATCTTTTGCCTTTCATACAATGTAGGAGAACTGATCTGGTGGGCTGGGGGGAATCTAAAAACAATTTGCAGATGTCAGGTTGGATGCCTTTGATTTCAGAGTCTCAATATCAATCTCAGTCTAGATAAAATCTAGCTCACCACTACTCTGGGCTTGCTCACCTCTTCCCATCCTCTCACCCTGGCAGGCATCACCCCGAGTCACTGTTCCCATTTATATTTAAGACCAAGCAACACAATTTAAGCCTAATTATCTGATGTTAATCCATAGAGTGCTTTGCATTTAAAGCATATACCTTCTTCATTTTCAAAGCTGGCCTCCAACCAAACATAACTGGTTGGGCCACTTTTCCTCTGTATTTTATAATTCCTTTTGGTAAGTAACTTCTCTAAGAGATGTGAAACCAACAGGAGCATAGCCTAACCTTGATGAAGATGCTTCATGCAGTTTGATGCTAGCGCTCCGGTCCCTCCGTACTGGGGCAGGCTCCAAAGTGGGTAGGCCTGTGGCTGAGGTGGTGGTTGTCCAAGTTGATGAAACCCGTCTCAACAAACCAGGAGGCAAACTCCTTCTCAGGCGCTAGGAAGGAGGAGTGTTGATTTTATCACCAAGCATATTTTTGATCACTCACTTATTATATAATACAATGGAAGAAAATGGGTTTTTAATTGGAAGTGAATTTATTAAACCATATTGGCTGAATACTACCTGTCTGAAAACTGGGTGCTCAGGAGTTCAATAAAAGAATGAATATTATAAAATTAACATTTTGGGATCTTCATTTACATGATGATTGTCATATGGCATTATAGGAATGAGAGTCACTTACCTTTGGGAGAACCTTGGGGAAAACTTAAAACTTTATCAGTTCAAAGGGATATACACACTTATCCATGCATTATATTAGTCATGAGCAAAAGTTTTCCCTCAAAGTCATCTGTTTGGGGCATGGATTGATTTTTATCATCTTGCAAAATAGTCCCCACACCAAAGTGTTTATTAATTTAATTTTAATTTCTTGATTTACGAAAGGCAGGAGCTGAGTATAAGAGTGTAACTCACAAAATGCACCACTTTTCTTGTGGCTAGCAAGACTTAAGACATCAGGCATAAGGGTAATATCATCAGTACCAACTCTTCTTAGCAGAAGAGTCTGCTGGTTCACCTGCAACCCTCTCATTACTATTTCTTCTTCTATGATATCCTAAACAGGATATGTGGCATCAATGGCAGAGAGGCAAGATTCTGAGCTTACCAGGATGAACACCAGCCCTCTAAAGAGGGTCTTCACCTTAAAAATTAAAGTGAAGGTATTCTTCTAATACAACAACAACAATATGGTTATAATAAGTAGAAGCTCAACCCATTTTTACTTGTGGCTAGCTATTCCTAGTAGACCAATCATGTAGACATTCTTTTCAAAGATGCATCCTGGTCTCCTGAAGATAACAAAAGCTTTTGAGAAGTATATGGCACCTTGAGATTCAAGAATAGCTCAGATACTAGTTTCCCATATTTCTTAAAGATCTGAATATGCATCTTTGAAAGTAATTCAATAGTAAGAGAAAAGGTCAAGCACTGTAAATACCAGGACTGATGCCTGAAAATCTCACTAACTTCATGTCTATTTTGAGGCTGAATGGAACCAGTTAATCTCTCTCCATTCCTTGACTGTCACATCATGCTTAGCCATACCTTTCTCAGAGACTAAGATGTTCAAAAAGAACCATGTAAATACCTAATTGACAAAGTTGTGTGAAACACACATTCCTCAGATAAGAGACTCACAACAGCTAATTCATGGGTGTTATTGACTGACCACCAGCTTGAGAGGACAGATGCCTGTTTACCAAACAGATAACTGTTTAGGATGTGCCGGAGAGGACTTAAATTCTGATTTGTTTTCAGTCTTTAAAACAACCCGTTTTCAATTAATGCAAGGTCTAAGCTGGGTATAGGATCCCATTTCCTATAGTTTACATTTGTAAAACTCGTACATCTTACACATAAAAAGAAGGAATTTACAAATCACTAAGGCCATCTTTTACTTTAAGCGATCCAAAATCAATTAAAACTGTTTGAGTTCAAAACTTCTTGGATTTGGGAAAGCCAGGAGGGTGCTGTGAATGATACCACACAAAGAAAGCCATGAGTAGCGGATCTCTGGGTTTCAGAGGGCAAGGGATTTTAAAAAGAACCCACAGTAGAATGGGAGCAGGGACTTTTGCCTGCCTCCCTCCCCTCACTGCTAAATCCCTATCCCACAAAACAGAGCCTGACATATAGAAGTAAAAACTTCTTCAAAGTCAGAATTAAAAAAAGGTACAACTTTCATTTACAGAAAGCTATGTTTAAGTCTTTATGTTTAAATTTTTATTACTTTGATCACCATGATCAACACATCTTCACTGAGTCACTGACATGACTGCATCTGGGTTTGAGGGTAACAAGAAACAGACCTAGAAGGCAAAAGAAAAGATTTAACCTTTGCAGGGATAGGTCATTAACACCTACCTTGGGAATAGCCAGCTTGTCTTTTTCAGAGCTTTCCTCAGAATCAGAACAGGTGTAATTTTCACTGAAGGAAACAACAGGATTCATGCGGGGCTTGTGAATAGCCTGGAAGGTGAGCTGGGTGTTGAGCAGGTTGCTCACTGCCCTCAAGGATGTGCACACGTTGGGGGGCAGTGAAGGGTCTGCCAAGAGGTCGGTAATGAGGCCATGAGCCTCACCCATCACGGCAATATCCACAGTAATACTGGTTCCTGAGGACTGAGACACCAAACAGAGGAACAAGTGAGAAAAGGCCTGAAGCTGAGGCACACACACTAAAATGGGGCTCTTTCCAAAAAATGGGCTGATTGACTCTTTCAGGTTGTAGTAAAGGAACATTCAAATCACATTTCTTTTTCAAATTTTGCCAAAATTTGCCATGGCCTTTGCCATTTTTGTGTTCCTGGAATGTTTTTTAATGTTAGAACTTGGAGAGGGGTAGGACATATTTGAAGAAATTAAAAAGATAAACACTAGTTTTTGGAAGTCAAGAAGTTGGGGCACCTGGGTGGCTCAGTCAGTTAAGCCTCTGACTCTTGGTTATCAGCTCAGGTCGTGATCTCAGGGTGAGGAGATGGAGCCCTGCATTTGGCTCCTTGCTCAGTGGGGAGCCTGCTTGAGATTTTCCCTCTCCCTCTGGCCCCATTTGTGCTCTCTCTCTCTCTAAAATAAAAAAATAAATCTTAAAAGAAAAAAAAGGCAAGAGGTTGCAGAGAGTTGGAAAAAACTTCCAATCAGCCGCTCCTTATGAAAAGCTCAACATTTTAAGGCATATTATTTAGAAATTTCATTCTAAAAGTTTAACATTAATATACTGTAAACTTTTAACTTTAGTAATGTTTTAATGTTTAGTAATTTTTAGTAAAATTTTAAAGTAATTTAAGTCTTTTAAGCCTGGTATATTGTAGTTATTTTTTTTTAAGATTTTATTTATTCACCTGAAAGAGAGAGAGAGGGAGCGCACATGAGGGGGGAGGGGCAGAGGGCGAGGGAGAAGCAGACTCCCCAATGAGCAGAGAGCCCAACTTGGGGTCGGTCCCAGGACCCTGGGATCATGACCTGAGCCGAAGGCAGATGCTTAACTGACTGAGCCAGCCAGGCACCCCCCTATGGTAGTTACTCAATTAATATTAGAGATAGGCCCAAAAAGCCTTTGACTTTTGATCAGATTCACATGTTATCCCTCTTCTTGTGGTTGGTAAGAATAGCAATTTTAGTTCTGGTATTCTGTGGCACATCTGTCATATTTTTTAAACTGCCTATCAGACTGACAGTCATTACTCTCTGTTTGCTGAAGAAAGGAAAAGCACAAAAAACAGAGGACAGGATTGTTCCCCACTCTGCTGCTCAGGCCAGAATGCTGGCAGGAAGGCATGAGAGCAAGGGAGAGTATGGGCAGAGTCAAGGCCAAGAGGGTAGATGAAGCTTCAAGACAGCACACAGAAGACCATTAATGCTGGAACATTGCCACAGTATGAGGCACAAGGAATCCACATAACTCCGTAAATGCAGTTAGCGATCAGGGTGCAGATGCTGGAACTAGGTACTTACGTCTAAATCCTGACTCCTAACCCTACCACTTTCTAGCATGATCTCTGGCAAGTCACTAAGATTCTGTGCTGTGAAATGGGGTAATATACGTAAAGCACTCAACACTGTGTTGACAACTATAAGTGCTCAATACTGATAATGGTATAAATAATAATGACAGTTCTGGAGTTTTTCAATAAAAGGCTGTTAGAAGTTTGGCTATGTATTTAGAAGAAAAGTTTAGTCATTCTCTCACAACAGACTTAAAAATAAACTACAGAGAGATGAAAAATTTAAACATATAAGATTATAAACTTATTATAAGAAAATAACAGGGATTAAGTTATAACATGGGAATGTTAAAAAATAATATGAATTCCCATAAACTGTCAGTGAAATATATGACAGATCTGACTAAAGACATAAGCTCCTAAGAAAATATACCATAAGCAAAGGAAAAAAACAGTGAGAAAATATTTGTCTCACAGAGAAGACAAAACACATCCAAATGAAGAGCTTCTAAAAATCAATAAAAGACAAATTTGGATAAAAGGAATGAATAGACAACCCAAACAAAATGTAAATAATCAAATGTATAAAAAGCTACTTGCCTGCCTAATATTTAAAATACAAATTAATATAATGAAAACTTTCACTCCTCAAAGCGGCAAAATAATAAAGGATTGTCAGCACCAAGTATTAGTAATAGTTTGGGTAAGTGAGCAGTGAGTCAAAATAACCCAGTGTTTGTGAAAGGGCATTTTTCTATCAATTTGTCACTTAAATGTATATATTCTATGATCCAGGAAAACAATGTTGACAGACATCTAAAGAAAAACTGCAAGATGTAAAAATATGAGGTCAAAGACATAAAGAGTGCAACAGCACTCTGACAACAACCAGAGAGTTCAGCCATAAATGCATATCAATAGAAAAAATGATACAAAGAAAGCTGTAGTATAACTCTATTTTAAAGTGGTATATAGTTTTTTAAATGATCTATAAATGACTACTTGAAAAAACACATATTGTTCACTGGTGGGGAAAAATATGTCATCAAAAAAGTGAATATGTATTATTTTTATAATTGGAAAAATATAAAAATTATGAAAACACCCAAAATACACAAAGATATATAGCCTTAGACCACTATAAGTAATGGATAAATTTTTCTGTAAAGATATGATATAGAACAGTTATGTCTTTTACCATGGAATAATAATAGTAACCATCATAATCATAGTGGCAGTGACATTTGCTCAGCACAAGTCTACAAGGTACTTCATTTACTAACTTCAGTTTTATTAGTAAAAGATAACTTGCCAGAATCCTAATCAGATAGCTGGAATAGGGAAACATCAGACCTCAAACAAATACTCTGGTTCTAGATCTTAAGTGCTGAGCCAGTACACCAAATAAGATAAAAAATACTTTTTTATCTTATGTTCCTAAATGTATCTGTAATTATTTAATGCTTTATGTGCTCTCTGTGCCACGCTCTTCTCTGTTTGGATGCCTAAATATCTATTATGGACCGACATAAAAATTCAAGTGCAACGTTAATAGTTTCAGGATACACAATCATGCATACTTCACACATGTACCTACACTGTCAACTTCAAAAATGTTCATGAGAAATGCCACCAAACTAAGTTAACATTCCCTTTGGGGAAACACGTATTTTCAAGTGCACCCCTAATTATGATGCTTCTAAAAAATTCACTCAGCGTGACCTTCTGAAAGAGTAATATTTATTCCTATCCATCCACTTTAAAAATGACAATTTGTCAAACTGTTTTTAGGACATAACATTTTCAGACTTTCTGACAGTGAAATCAACAGTTTATGTTCTATAATTAATAATTAAAGAGGCTTTCTCAAAATGTTCTCACTATACAAAATTTACAAACCTAAAGAAAATGTAGAGCATGTTCATTGATAATCTGAACTAAAACTTTTAATGAATTATTGGTGAGAGAACAAGTCTTTTTTATAATGCTCTCATTTTATGATTTTTAAATAACATTTTCTTTTTTAAGTACTAGATGCATTTCTGATATACTCAGAAAAAAACAAATATTAAAAAATTTTAAAGTAACTTTAAAATGCAAACAGAACTGGGCGCCTGGGTGGCTCAGTTGGTTAAGCGACTGCCTTCGGCTCAGGTCATGATCCTGGAGTCCCGGGATCGAGTCCCACATTGGGCTCCCTGCTCAGCAGGGAGTCTGCTTCTCCCTCTGACCTTCTTCCCTCTCGTGCTCTCTCTCTCTCATTCTCTCTCTCTCAAATAAAAAAAAAAAACCTGAAAACTCATTCTCCTAAGTCATTGTTAGTGCTATGTAAGAATTCAGAAAAGAAGCACATAATGTATTTTAATGCTATTTATGCCCTAGCTTTGGCCAAAGCAAAGGTCTTCAAGCAAAAACAAAGCAATATTCATGCCAGTAAGAAGTAAATGATCCATACTGGAATTGGCTAAGAAACCAAAGTGGACATTTTTACTACTGAAAAAGTATACTTTAACGAGGTATACTTAATATGGGAATGAAATCAGGTCTTTGCTACACTGGTTTTCTGATTCAAGACTAGAACTGTACAACGGTCAAAAGTTGCATCACACATAGAAGTTATCACCACTTTTTGGCTCAAATAACTAAAGGCTTCAATGAGGCATAAAATCTAAAACCAACAATCAGATTTGCTTGCCACAAAATTGCCAAGACTAACCACACATGACAGATGGGCCCCTATTTCAATAAGCAGCAGGCAAGTTATAAAGACACGGGAGAGTCCAAGGAGTAACTATTAAGGAATTTTAGGGGAGAAGGGCTTTGGTTGATAGCAGAGTTTTTCCTCAGATGATACAAAATACGAAAAAGAGTGACTCACACAGAGGGTACTGCCATACCCTATCCAACTTTGAAAATAATGTAACTAAATTTCTAAATATACCAATAAATACTCAGAAATATTCCATTTAACTGGTGAAATCTTGGTGATAATAAATAGTAAAGGTTAAGTTTATATGAAAGCCACTTTAAAGGAAAGTCTTAAGCTAACAGCCTGAAATCATCTTTGAGTGCAGTAATGAACTATACTAAAGCATAAAACCACAGTTGAGTCTTTTTATGGTAGAGCTAAAACAAATCTTTTCCTTTTTTTTAAAAAAAGGGACCAAGCAATATAAGACATTCTACTTTGCAAGCTCTCCTTATAATAGAAATATTTATATTTAACGTTTAAGAAGATGCAAGTATAATTCCCTGAACATTATTTAAATGACAACCAAATTTGGATCGCTACCTTTAAATAGAAAATCTGGAATTTAAGTCTGATAAACAGTTGAGGAAAGTGTGGTTTTATATGTTAAACCAAAAATAACTGATTCTCTTGGTAAATCCACCACTTTTCAAAGCACCCAGTTTTTAAAATATTTTCCCTTCTCCCAATTATCTCCATCCAGTCTACTTTACCATCTCTAGGATGTGAATACATAGATGCCTTGCTATATAATATGATCTAGTTGCTTCCAAGTTATTGTAAACCAAAGGCCGGGAAAATCTGGAGTTATACATAAGAAGTTAAAGAAATAATAACAAATACACTTATAAACACCATTAAACATAACTCCTAGAATAAGCATGTATTAATCAACTCAATTATAGGAAATTTGTTTGCACTCTTACTACTGCTGTGCTAAAGCTCTGAAATTACACTATTAGTATGATAAAAGGGAAAGCTTTGAATACATGTAGTGGTCAGAAAGGATGTGCCCTTTATGAAGGACACCCAAGCTTCTAAATTACCCTCAGAGACAAATTTTGGAAAATTCCAACAAATAAATCCATGTAATCAAATTACTAACAGCATGTATGTAAAATAAAATTATGTATCTTTAAGTAACATGCCAGATTATTTACTGCAGCACTGTGTTTGGGTTTCTGTCAAAATATTAACCAGAAATGGGGAATTTCTAAAAGGAATAATTGTTAAACAGTTTTAGGAAATAACTACAGGAACAAGGTGAATGAAAACAAAGAAGCCAACAAACACCGTTTCATTTAAAGAATGAGAAGATGCCCACGGGAAAAATCAGAAAGGGACTGAGAAAATTGAGGTCAACAACAATTTGCTATTCAAAATGATCAGGGAGGCTGTCTGGTGTAGAAAGTGGGCTGAAGGTAACGCATCGAATTCCTGATGAATTCTGTTGGAGGCGGCACCAACATAGTCAAGTTATAGCTCTTCTTCCTACATATTTTGAAGCAAAGATTCAACTGATAACTTAGTCAAATAGGTTACATACATCCCTGCTTAGAAGTGGAAGATATATAATAACTCTCAAGTCTTCTGACTCAGTGAGTTAGTGAATCATCTGATGAGTCATTTGCTTTGGAGATTAATTTATTCTGACTGGCAAAAAAAAAAAAAAAAAAGAATTAGAAGCAGTATAAAAGCCCCTCTTCATAATTCTATGTGAAACCCAAAGATAGGTTACAAATGCCAAAGAACCATAATCGAGACAATTACCTACATAACCTAGTTGAGATGCTGTATGCCTTGAATCAGACCACTGTTTTGTTTAATATTTTAACTTAGGATGGTTTCCAAAACTGACCGCAGATTTACTCTAGGCAATATTGTATCCATGGGGGGTACACAGTCCTCCCCTTTGCAAAAATCAGAGAACTGGGTTAGATCTTCCTAAGGTCCTTCCCAATTCCATAAATCTAAACCTTTTTGCATATACACATACACACATACATCAAAGAAGAAGAAAATGATTTTAAAACTTATTTCCTGGCATCAGTAAGCATTTTAAATTTGTTAAGACGATTTAAAAAGTATTATGTAGACAGAAAATGCTTTGTTTCACATTGCTAATCATACCCAAGCTGTACCTCATAACTTATGATTGAGTCACTGATGCTGTCTCCTCTCTATATTAAAATGCCTAGGGTACACTGAGTGCTCGGGGGTGGGGGGGAAGAGGCTACTCCCCTGGAACTTCTACATACTTCTACTCCCAAGAGTTGAGCTGTACGTTTCCCAAGTGTGTTTCCTTTGGTCCCACATCTGTTCAGGCCAG